AATTTCAGGCGCCATTGGCAACTTCTTGTTATGTCTGTGCAAGACAACTATGCTTTGTGGTTCTGCTCATTGCACAGGCCTCCTCCCACACAACTCAGACAAGCAATTGATTGGTAAGAACCTCAATGTTTGGACTTTCTTTGTTATATAACTGAATGCTAAAACATTTTTTTATATACAGTTCTATTCCAGCAAGTATGATGATGGACGGGAGATCAATTGCTAAGAGTAGAAAGATTGCTTGGATTTCTCTCAAGGTTTGACATATGCTAAAGTCTGACTTTGTTATAATTGTTTTATAACAAATGTTATTCACTAACTATTATCAACTGTGATGATATATTGTAGTGTAACAGACAAAATGGGTCATATGAGTGTGGATACTATGTAATGTATTGGATGACCCATATTGTTCGTTCTCACATCACAAGAAGCTGGGAAACGGTAATATTTAACTTTAACAAATTTTGATTTTTTAACAAATGTTGAATTCATATACACTAATTAAAATGAATTGTCTTTTGCAGAGATTCAAGACTACTACACCAGTTCCTGAGAAGTCACTACTATTCATTAGGAACGCTGCTGCGAAGTATATAGTTAGATTATACAATAGCTCTTAGATTTAGATTTAAACAATGCATTTGATTAGATAGAATTTTCTTAGACTCTCTACTTTATTTGATGTTGAAATACATTTGAACATGTGTTTGTTATGTTGAAATTGAATTTCTGTAAATGTTTTTATATGCAGGTCTGTTTTTGTGGTAATGGATATCACAAAAACAGACCTGCAATTTTAAAAAACTGCAGGGGAATATGCCGCGGTTCTAACCACAACCGCGGCATATAGTGCTTCGTTTTTTTTTACAAACGAGACATATGGCCGCGGTTTTGACACTAACCGCGGCATATTCGTTGGCCTATATGCCGCGGTTGAACCGCGGCATATAGTGCATTTTTTAATTTTTTTTTTAAATTTTTTTTAGGGTTTAGGCAGCGGTTCCCTAGACAACCGCGGCATATTCCGCAGACTATATACCGCGGTTCGAACCGCGGTATAAAGTGTATGACTTACTACCGCGGCTGAATATGCCGCGGTTCAAGAACCGCGACGTATAGTGAAAATGAACCGCGGTAAAAGCCCTTCGCTGCACTAGTGATTTAGTGATGTGAAGAAGGGAAAACTAAGTAAGTACTATATAGGTGAATAGTTGATTTCAATTTTATCATCATAAATCAATAATCCTTAAGTATATATGGAGAACTTAAATAATTGTGTGTCATTAAAGGGGTTGTAGTTTTGTTCAAAAAAATTGTATGAGAAAGTTTACAACTTTGTTCAAAAAAATTGTGAGAGAAGTTTGTAGTTTTGACTAGAAAAATTGCATGTTGAGTAATAATACTCCAACATTCGTGAATTAGGCCTTGAAGTATATATTGAGTAATAATATCTTTATTTAGTATTCATGAATTTAGGTCTTGAGAGGCATTTAAGTAATAATACTACTTTATGCTTTATTTCTAAGTGTGCTTTTACTAAAAGATATTAACTTACTATTACATAATGTTAAAGCTAAGGTTCTAATTAAGGGAAGACAACAACAATTTTGTATGTTGAGAAAGTGTTGCATATTACACATTTTAAAGAAAAGTTAGTGTTGATCACTTTTTGAGCAATGACTTTCTTGATATGTGTGGTGGGGTTCAACTTGATTGGGATAGTGTGGTGACGAATTTCACCTTGAGTATTAGTGATTTTTCAACAACAATGATGCAAAAATTGTCGATAATAAGTGTGATATACAAGGTGATAAGGATTGACAAATAAAACATTGTTGTCATCAATGAGTCCATTCAGGCCACCGATGAGAAGAGTGGTTCAAGTGAATCTATTGATAGTATGTTAGTCATTCGATTCAAAGCATGAAAAAAGAAGGGATAATGCCAAATTTAATGATAAAACTTCAATACCAAGTTGTTATCTCTTTATATGTTTAACTTTTGGTGAAAGAAGGATATGCTGGTTCTAAAGTAGTTAGTTACCAAAATCTCACATTGATTAATGTTACTACAGGGGTACACCTCACAGATCGAGTATGACTATGGGCTGTGTAGAATGGATCGGACGGTCAGGATACGAAAATAAATTTCATAACCATTCGGTCAAGACAGCAGTTGAACAGAGTTAAAGTGTAATCAATACTGTAACTATTATTGATGACTAGTTAAGACACTCATTAATGACCATAAAGAGGTAAATTAATTGGTCAGATTCTTGTAAATTCTATAAAAAGAGGTTTAATGTCGAGGTAAAAGACACATTTTTCATAATTGAATTACTTTACACTTTCAGAGAAAAATTCTGACTTAAGCGCAAAGTGTTTTTTATAGATCATTCCCTCAAACCGATCGGTCACCCAAGCACGGAGGAAGAGCACGCTCGTCTAGACAAGAGTACTACGAGGGAGTCATTCTCGTCCCGTTCCAGTAGAAACAATTAATAAGAAGTAAAAGTTAATAAATTATTATAAAAATAATATGTTATTTGAGTGTTGTTACGACAACTCAATAAGTTCTTTGATATATTGAAGACTTGAGTAATCATGTATCATTGAAAGGTTTGTGTCAAGAACTAAAAGTTAAAAAACAAAGAAAATAAAGATTTTTTATTGAATATAATGAAAAGAACAAAAATTAGGAGAACATTATCACTTTCAAAGGTTTTCTTTCACAAAGAGTTAAAAATTAATCTACAAAAATTCACCTCCCTTTTCCTCTCCTTCCATGTTTATATATAACTAACACATAATTCATGGATATTATAACTATCAACTAATTTATCTTTTGTATGTAGAAAATAGTTTGTAATTTTGTTTAGAAAAATTATATGAAAAGATTTTCGATTCTATTATGAAAAATTGGAAGGAAATCTTACTAGAAAAAATACAAGTAATAATACTTTTGTTAAATATTAGTAGATATAAACTTGAGATGAACGTTGAATAACAATATTTTTGTTGAGTATTTAATATGTAAGCCTTGTATGATTAAACTATACTAAATTATTTTCCTTTATTTTCTAAAGAAAAAAAACTTAAGAGAAAGAAAATTGCAATTTCGAATATAAAACAAGACAAGTGAGCTGCAAAAACAAAATTAAGGCGCCCCATGTAATTTTTGGGGTTTTAAAAATATATTATATCGATCGTTTGTACCAACCGATACAAAATCTGAATTAAAATAAAATTCCATTGATTTTATGTTCTGACATATTAATACAAAGAATGTTGTAAATTTGATATAATATCTTCCTCACATATTACACAATTGCTATCACATTTTTTATTTACTACAATTATGGTTAAGTCGATTTTATTTGTTGATGAAAAATACACTACTTTATACCAAATGCTTTTAATGTAATTCATATAAACTAATCAATCATTTTACATAAACACAATCATAAAATTTTAACGTACACAAGGTAATTTCTTAGTCTCATCTCCATTGTAAAGTCATGTTCAAAATTATGAATTTAATCACATAAAATTTAAGACACTAAATCAAAGTAAAAAAAAAAAGAAGAAATTCTGTCATAAAAGAATAAGACTCTTAAAAAATAAATTAATATATCCTTCGAGAGCCTGCACAATAAAAAATGGCCCATACCATGGAAATGGTTTACATTACAAAAGAATGTCAAGGGACATCTTTTGTTATCAAACAAAAAACAAAAAGAAATTTCTTTGGGACAACATGGGACTTTAAAAAGTTGAAGTTTTGAAGCACTACCAACAACACATTCTATTAGTATCATCATTTTGCTATCATAGATATGCCATTGTCTATGAGAACCAACTGAAAGAATCAACTTTATTTCGAGGACGGCACCCCTTGGCCTTTTTGCTTATAGCCTTGGCAAAGAAATCAATAAAGCCATATAACGGAGAGTAATGAACAAATAATTTCGTCTTTGCCTTTTTCCCGTTTCAGTATCTTTTTTGTCCCATTCGATTGTTTTGCATGATCTTTGGACCACACTGTCATCACCTTGCACTTGCAGGCATGTAAAAACTGTTCTGCAGAATTCATGTGTTTGTCGTTTTGCAGTGACTGGAAATCGAATATGAACATTATTTTTGTCCATGCCAGTCATCACAGGGTTTCTTATTGTTTCGGTGGTGCCCGGGTCTAGTACTGTTAATTTCTGGCTAGTTTTGTCCTCGTCATTTATGTTTCTTGGTTTTTGAAGTTTTCGTTTGTCTAATATTAAAAAGGTTAGATATTCTTATGTTAAAGTAAGTGACTTCTTATAAGGATATTAGATATATGTATGAATAATTTTAGACCAGTTGTTATAAATTTTTATTTATTATTTTTAATCACAGTTCAATTATATTTTAATTAGTATTAGTTGGTTGGTTCGTTGTGACTAAATATTTATCTAACACTTTTTTTTCTGTAATTGTTTAGTCAGACTGATCGATCCAAAAATGTTAGGCTCTAACTGATTGATCCAAAAGTCATTGATCCAAGAATAATTGATCCAACGATGATACTCAATAATGATACTCAATAATGATGGATGATCAGCTCAAAAGTAATCAATACAAGTGAATGGTTTATGGATAATTTAACTTATTAACTAAAAGGGTATAAGAGTATGTACCGTACACTTACTATTTGATAATAATAGATGTGATATAAGGGTTATTAATTATGTTAAGAAGCACGTAGAGCGTATTCTAAAAAATCATTATAAAAGTAAACTAGTTTTGGCATCTTTAAATCAGAGAAAGGACAAAGTTGTCTATAATTAAAGAAGAAGACTGTGACTTACTACCATTTATGAAAGGTTCACAATTTTTTAGTTGAAGTGGTTATTTATAAATATTTACTTCCTCCAAGGACCAAGAAAAAAGAAATTCATGTTAATACAGAGTAGTGACAAATTTGAAACAAGAGAACATAAAACATCACTATGGAACACAAGACTGTTAAGATAAAATGTCAATCAATATTATAAATTCGATGTCTCTTAGGAATCAATTTTGTTATAATGTCTAATTATTTAATAACCAGTACATCCCTTGATTTGTCTATGATCTCACCTCAAGCCTCCTCCACATATACTACTGCTACGTGACATAAAACAAGCCTCTTACGTACCCCATATGACATAAAATTATAAGAATAAAAGGGTTACAGTATAATGCATGTTTAGAGAGGTTGATACGAAATTTATAGTTCGGTGTGAGGAATATCCTCCTCCATAGTTGAGTCTGCAACTTGAGAGATTTTGTCGGTGGAACTGAGACAATCGGCAGAAGGGTGCACCACCCCATAGGGAAAGCCTTGAGCCGAGTGACAATAAGTTTCAACAGTGCCATCTTGTTTATCTAAGTCAACGTTGCTGAGGACTAGATTGCTGCAGGGGGTTGTGTCACTGCAGTCAAATTTAATGGCCTTAGCACTAATTGTAGTGCCACTAATGTTCTGGTACATCACCTCGCTTATCTCCACAGCTGATGTCTGCACAAACAGTTCATAACTGTGACTTATCATTTCATAATGATACAATTAGTCTAATTAATCTATGAAATGTGTAATTTTGGCATATAAATAAAAAGCTTTGAAACCTGGTTGGGACAAGTGGATGGTGAATCACAGTAAAATTGGTCTATGAGAATGGGGTTGGACACATTTTCAACTCTCACATTCTGAAAACGCACGCCTCGAACGTATCCAGAACCTCCCTATGTGGCAGCAAAATAAAGAAAAACATCAGTGAGCATTCTCCAATATAGTATTTTCCACAATTTCCAAATGCAGGGGGATTTTTCCCACCGCATATATTTGCATGCATCTAATGTTTATTCTAAAAAAATATCAATTGTTTTGTAGGTCATGTACTGACTTTCCTTTTCAGAATCTCTTACCAATACTAAGGTCACATGATCAAATTATCAATTGTTTTCCCTTTTCCCTTAACTCCTTTTATTCCGAAAGAAGTTAGGTGGCTTTTTTGCCATTGTTCTTTTGGCCGAGTGAAGACATTTCAGAGAAAAAATTGTGATAATTATTTTAAAAGTTATATTAACCATTATTTCTGATTAAATAAAAATATAAAACTATTTATCAAATAAGACTATTAATTTTATTAATTTTCATATTGCCTTGGCAACCACCAAAAGATATAATAATAAATATACAAATAATAGGTTTAAAAAATTTAGAATCCTGGTCTCTAAATTTGACTACGTACTGTCCTTAAATTCAGATAAATTTCTATAAAAGTTGAAGCACGTATATACACACATGTATTATTTTATGGAACTGACATACCATTTATAATAATATTACTAAACTAATAATTGATAATTATCAGCTTTGTTTACGGTTACATTACAAAAAAAATGAAAATAAGTATCAAAGGTTAATTACTTTGCAATTTTTATTCAAAATTTTAAATAATTAGAATGGACAATTAATTAATATCTACATGAAAAATAAGGATAATAATGTATAATAAAAAAAATCTTGAGAAAAATTAAAATATTATTGAAAGATTAAAACAATTTTATTATGAAATTAGGGGTGTTAAAAGTGAGTGAAGCTCACACGGACTGGTTACTGTGTGTTGGGCTAAAAGTGGATTAGTCTAACCTAATTATGAGTTAAAAATTTTGTAATTTATTCCGATCCATAATGAATTGATAAGTTAACCAAATGATATTTTATTTATTTCATATATTTAACACAGTACAATCAAAATAGATTAAATCTGAGAATTAAATGAGTTACATACAATTAGAGCTACATTTACAAAAATTAATTTTTTTTTTACCAGAACATGTGATAAGCTAGATTAGGTCATGAATAAAATTCATTTTGACATCTAAATACCTAAGAATACTACTTACCTGCCAAGTCTTAATCCTGAGACCATTGGTAGTCTCCCTAAGAACTGCTGTATCCAAAATCACTTTCGTGACGATGCCAGTTGAGTTGTCTTTCCCAAGACTTCCAATGCTGAAAAACAAAGAAAGAGTTAGAAAAAGGTATAAACTACCTTACTCATTAAAGTGTTCCAGACACTTTGATTTGATCAAAGAAAGAATAGGAAAAATATTTAACGTAACCGATTGAAATAATGAAATCATCATGTATGTTTCATGTAACTCACGCTTGTCCAAGAGACAAGGGAAAAGTGAAACGATAGATAGAGAAAGTTCATTTGTTCATTAAAAGGTTATGACAATTTTGTGGATGAAGGTATGCTATACAACCATACTATATAAACTTCAATGTAGCAGAGAAAGAGTGCCGTGTAATTTTAAATTAAATGGGGGCATGAAGAATAGATGATACCTGATTCCATGTCCTGGTCCACAATAAATTCTCTTCATTTTGATATTAGAGCTGGCATTGACAATCGATATGCAATCATCCCCTGAATATAGTACGTGCGATTATGATGAAAGCGCAAAAACATAACTGGTCAGTATCCTTCGTTTTTAATTTTTATATAAATGGCAGAAATCTAAGGACAAGAGTAAAGTTCACTTTTCATTTTTCTTTATTCTTTTTCTGTGTCTTTAAAATTCCTTTTCCAAGTTAGCTACTTTGTTTCTTTGTTTCAAAGTCTGTTAAGGGTAAACCACACTACTGTTTCTATTGTTCAGCAAAACGGAACTTTAAGATGAGGAAGAACACCGAGTTCAGAACCTGTTCCAATTTTACTGTCTTGGATTATGACATTTGTTGATTCACTAATATGAATTCCATCAGTGTTTGGACTGTCTCCAGGTGCTGACACTTTAACTCCATTAATTCTAACCGAATCACATCGTGATATGGTAAAATGCATCTGTTGGCTATTCTGGATTGTCAGTCCTTTAACCTTTATGGATGTACTTGTATCAATCGTAAACGCCTGCAATGATCTCCTCACTGTTAAACTACTTTATTATTTTATGAACTTGATTTCACATCTTGCAAAACCTTCTCTTTGAAAATAGATTACAAGCAAGGTTAAGAAAGCGGTTCTTACTGTTGGTGCACCTTTGCAAGGCTGTGGCAAAACACAGGAGGAAAATCAGAAAGTTATCATTAAGGTTTCATAAACTTGTAAAATAAACAAGACCACGTTTTGCAAAAAATTACATTTGATTTGTTCTTTTTGCAAGATGCTGCCCACCATTTACTTCCTGAGCCATCAATAACTCCAGAACCTTGGAAAACAGCTTTATCCAATTTGGAAAAATCAAGCCAAACCCGTGGAAGTTTTGGATCCCAGTTCTTAGGCTCATCTGGGGCAACCAATGTACCGTCAATCTGGAAATGCAGATACTACATCAATAATCACAGGACAATTGTTAAATCTATAATATATTTGTGTTTGATTACCTGGATGGTGAGCTTGTCTGCACAAGGCCCTCTGAATTTTGTTGCATTGACTAGGTAACGGCGATCTTGAGGAATTAACAAAACAGATTTTGGTGTAGAGCATGCAACTCCCCATGCTTTTTGCAAAGCCTGATAATCATGAAAAGCAATGGACAAAACATAATTACAGAATGATTAGTCTGGTCTGCGATAATGCCTGACCTGATTGATTAGCTCAACAAAACAATTTGTCTCTGTTCAACGTTGTCAAATGAATGAAAGTGCTTCTTGAGCAAAACAGAAGAGTAAAAAATAGTGATATGCATTTGCAAGACCTGGTATACAATAAATATTTCAACAACTGTAATGAAAGAAGTTACCTCAGTATCATCAGATTCTCCATCACCAGCAGCACCAAAGCTATCAATATTAACAAGAACTTTACCACCATGCTCGCTTCTCCATGAAGGGATGTCAGAAAGTTCTTCTACCTCAGTTTCTTCTTCTATGTCAAAGGACTCCAAGCTTTTAAGTTCTTCAAGCATGCCAATGCTGCCACACGTCATGCTTCCTGCAACTCCATGAGCTGCAATGAGCAAAGCGAGTAAAGAAACAAGGAAAAATTTGTCCATGTTTTGCTCCTGTTGGTTGTATTGCAAGGATTGGTTGATTTGATTAATGCGAATGAATACTTTGGTTATAATTTATACGCGTAGATTAGCTCTGAAAAATGAAGGATTTGGAGGGGCTTTATGGCTTGGCTTGAAAGTGGATGAACGTGCAACAATTTCTACATGCCCACACTTAAAGTACAAGGAAAAATATTTTTGTAGTATTTTGCTTTACTCATCAACCAATTACAAAAGCCACAAGTAATATTCACCGTTGCACTATCCCACTTTGCCGCCCTGAAAGAGAAGTGAATGACATATAATCTAAGATTCTATTTTGCATATTCCACTGTCTCAAATTGCTCTAGTATAAAGGCATAGTAACATGCGGTACACGAAAGAGGGAAAATATTTTTCTATTTTTGGAAGCTGCCAGTTAGTTACACTAAACATGGGAATGCAAATGCCGACCTTCATTTATTTGGCATGCTCACACCAAGAACTCCTCCCAAAGGAAACCTTTCCCTTAGATTGTAGGATTTCCCAAATAGACAAGACCTTACTATCCCAGGAAACATCTCCATCAGTTCAGCAAATTGACATGATTGTCTTATCGTGTGTGAATAATGTGCCAAATGCTTCATCAATTCAGGAACGCTATTTTCCTGTCACTGTCTTATCTCAATTAAACTATGACCAATCTCCCTAGACATCTTCCTTGCTAGAGCAACTTCTCTGATTTGCCTTGCTTCGTCAAATTTCCCTATTTCAGCATAAAAATTAGAAACCTGCAACCACACTGCAGGATCATCTGGATCTAGCTCAAGTAAGACTTGTGCTGCTCTTGTTCCAACCTCTTCATTCTTGTGGACCCTGGAACTTCTAAGCAAAGAGCTCCACATAAAGCAGTCTCTTTTTCCTGGTGCCTGTAGAAGCAACTCCTCAGCTTCATAGAGAAGTCCTGCGCGGCATAAAAGATCCACCATGCAAGAAAAATGGCGGCGATCTGGATCGACCCCATGAAGAGATTTCATCGACTCAAAAACTACCCTTCCTTCCTCAACTAGTCCTGTGTGGTTACAACCACTTAGAGCACATAAGAAGGTAACTTTATCTGGCTTTAGTCCCCTCTCAATCATAGCCTGAAGCACTGCAATTCCTTCCTTTCCCATTCCATTTCGAGCATACGCATTGATCATGGAGGTCAAGCAAATAGCACTTGGAGAAGGAAGACTCTCGAAAATTCGATGAGAAAGATCCACATGCCCGCATCTTGAATATGCATCCATGAGGGAACAGGCAACTGCAGCATCTCCTCCAAGTCCAGATTTTAATGCATAACAATGCAGTGACTGGAAACCCGTAAAACTTGATAAAGCAGACACTGACAATGCCTTCAGTGTGGTTGATATGGTTACTTCATCCGGCACAAGACCCTCATCGACCATTAAACGAAGCAATTCAACCATGTCCTCGACGGCTTCAGAATGAGACAAAGAGGTCATCAATGAGTTGAAACACTCCAAAGTTCTCTTCGGAAGGCATTCAAATACAGCCATAGAACCCTCAATGTCTCTGCACTTTCCATACATATCAATCAAAGCAGACTGAACATGCTCACTCCCTTCATCAAAACCCATCTTCATTACAAGACAATGTACCTGCTTCCCAAAACAAAGCTCTCCACTTCTACTGCATAAATTCAAAAAACCCACCAATGAACGAATTGATGGCTTTCGCCCCCATAACTGCATGATACTAAACACCTCAAAAGCCTCACACAACAAACTGTTTTCAGCATAAACATAAACCAACGAGTTCCACGAAATAACATTCTCGTTTTCTATGGCTTCAAAACACTTCCTTGCACCAACCAAACACCCACACGCAGAGTAAAAATCCACCAAAGCATTGGCAACAAAAACGTTCGATTCCACCAAACCCACCTTCCAAATGCACCCATGAATCGTCTTTCCTTCATGCAACCGTCTCTGATTACCACACTCCCAAAGCAAATAACAAAACGTAACCCCATTTGGCTCCACACCTTCAAAACGCATCCGAGAGTAAAACCCCAACAAGTCTTCTACTTTCACACGAACCAGCTCACACAACCCACGCAGCAACACATTCCAGACAGCTAAATTTCGTTCCGGCAACTCATCAAACAATTCCAGTGCCACCCCACATAGCCCCATACGCATGTAAAACCCAACAAGTGCACCACCAACGAACACGTTGCATGCAAATCCGAGCTTGACCACCCTGCAATGCACCTGAACACCCTCTCTGAAAAAAGCGGCCTTGGTGCAAACCGCTACAACAGAGGAGAAGGTGGTCGAGCTTTCTCCTATTCCATGCGAACCCATTTCAGCGTAGAAACGAAGAGCGTGTTCCGGTTGCTCGCGGAACCCGGAAATTATCAAGTTGTAGGTGACAGTGTCACGCAATGGAATGTTGTGGAACAGTGAAAGTGCAGCCTTGAGGTCCCTGCGTTTTATGAGAGCGTGGAGTTCGCGGTTCTTTAGGTAGACATAATCAGTGGGAAGAAACGTGTGTGGAACAGTTGTTATGGGTCTGAGAAAGGAGAGAAGCTGAGGCTTTTTCATCCAACACTGACACCACGCTTTAGCCAGCATTGAGACTCAGACTTGGAAAACTTTGTGAAGGAAAACGAAGACGAACACCACAATGAGTCTCTCACAACATACACTCTGTAATGGGAACATTCTAGTTTTTATTTGAAAACTTCACCAGCAGCCACATTATCAACACAACCATGATAACTCCTTTTAATAATAACTCCTTACAATATAGATAGAACAAAGTGACTAAGCATCATGCATAATAGTTTTATATCTTTGGAAGAATTATTCAGCTTAGCCAAAATTTCAAAAGGCAAGTAAATTGACAAATGACAAATTGTGAACTAATTCATCAAATTAATGAATATTTAATTATAAATAAATAATACACATATTGACAAACATGTGAATTAATTTATGAAATTAGTGAACATTTAATTATAGAATAAATATATGTGTTGAAAGTGTAAATATTTTTTCATAATTATGCACTTCAATTCATTATGCATAGTAAATTTGCTTAAATTCTAAACAACTACCTTAAAGATTCCTTAATAAAACTATCTTAAATACCATACTAAAAATTATATTCAGGCTCTTACATTTACACTAGTAACAATGCTTATTAAAATGTTAATTATATAATAATCAACACCTTTCTAGGAAAGCAATTTCAATACCAATTTAAAAAATTTGCATGTGGTCAATGTAAGTAAGCTTCAATACATGAAACTACAAAAAAGTGATCATCATTTACCATGCTTGGAAGACAACCACTCAAGTATGTTATAACTTTACCAAAGGCCATGCTAACCCACTTTTTATTCTTGGTGACACACATTATAAAAATAAAATAATTATAAAAAAATAAAATTTTGTAAAAAAGTAAAAAAATAAAAAATTATGTAAAATGAATATAATTTTTTTTCAAGTATTAAAATGTAGGTACGTACAGAACCACATTGAATAAATGGTGGTGTGTGAAACTTAATTACAGAGCATTTAATTGTCCCAAAATTAAGAGTGATCCAGATCTTTCTGCACATTGTTTATGAATAGTAATACGTGTCAGGCTTTTCCTCGCTGCACCCACAATTATTAATTGCTGTTCTATAATTTTTGAAATGACCATTTTAATTTTTGTGATATGTTTTCTTTATTACGAAACCTTTCGAAATAAATTTTATTAAACAAGATTTTTTAAATAAAGTTATTGAAACAAGTTTTTAACAACAATTAGTTTTAAATCTAATTTAATTCTATAAAATCAATATATCTAAAAATAAGAAATCTTATTAAAATAAGTAACTATGATACTACATATAGATTTCAGGTTTCAATTCATTCTAATAAACTTTAAATTTAATTGAACATTTTTATAAGATATTTATATTCATTTATATATTAAAATTTATATATTAAGATTTATTTTATGGGCTAACATTTTTTTAAACAAAATTTCTAGAAATTTTTTAGAATCCTACCTAAACATCATCTTCCCCTTTTCAATTAAACAATTCGAAAGTATTATGGTTTTGTTTTCAAGGTAGACAATCCAGAAAAGAAGAAAATTACGTTTTAGTACCTTGGAGATCATACACGAAAACGTATGTTCATATACACGAAAGTATTATGTTTAGTACCCTCGATTTTTAGTAACTCTCAAATAATTTCCTACTATAAAAAATATTTTTAATGAGAAATGTTAGTTGTTAGTTTGGTTAGTAAAATAATTGAATCATAAAAGTTTTCTGAAAGTTGTTTTCTGCCCCTCGTCTATTTTATCCTACACCTTTTATTTTACATATTTGTCTTTCATTTATTAAAGTCAAAACAAATTTAACGATGAGTTAATAATTTCCTAACAACCAACAACCCTAAATCCCCTTTGATTGTATAAACCCTACATGCACCTCCTTTCCTCTTCCATTTTTTCACTTTCTTTACAGTAACATTTTCTTCACTTTCACTGTTTGATTGTTTCCTGAGTTAAGAGTCGAGAGCTTATACAGTGGTGATTGTGATCTGTGGTGATGGTGTTGGTTATTGAAGGAGAAAGGTGGAGGATGATGTTATGAATGGTACGAGTAGTGAGTAGGTGGGGGACGTGGGACCCAATAGACACATGGCAAAGAAGGAGGAAAACAAGAGCAATCGCAAAAGTGTCAGGAAAAGAATAGCCAATTCCACACTGAAAGATTTTGTGTGGAGCACTACGTGAGTATAAGAAAATATATTGCTACATGAGAAGGGTGTGTAGGATTTGAATTGTCCCTTTCTCTCTCTTGGCCCTTTTGGGATATTCCTCTGCCAATTCTATTATTTTACACTGTTAGCTTTTGAGTTTATCATTTCCATTTATATGAGAGATTTCATATTCCATATGACAATATAAAGTTTTCTTCTTCCATCTATTTCCTTATTATTGTATTGTTACCAGAGTTCATTACATTTTGGTGCTTTCATTACCACATGGCCGAAAACACACAGCTTAAGGAACTTGACGCCAACATGAAGAAAATCCTCAACCTCATGGAGAAACGTGACCTC